CAAATTGAACAAGTAAAATGAGATTAACCTTTTTATTTTCCTGAAATATTAATGAAAAAATGCTCTAGTCAAGGTTGTGACTTTATACCCCATGCTTGGGCAAGTTGACACAAGGCATAGGACATAGGTTTGGAATGGGAACTTAACTTCTTTTATAAAGCTTTATTAATTTGGATAAGTAACTAGTTCATGTAACAGTTTAAATAGATTTTTAAAGCACCACCATACATTACACCACAAGGTGACCCCTCCCCCCCCCCCCATCTCATGCAGTGACACCGCTGGGTACAAAGAGAATTCCTTGTGAACTATAAGTGTACTGTCCTTAAGCCTTCACATTATGTTAAAGAAACTACTGATAAATAGACCTATTGCTAACAGTTGCTAATAAAACCAGCAATTATGATCTTTACAAATAATTTTCAGGGTTTATTATATTAATGATAACCAATGGAATGATCAAAATAGTTTCAAAATTCTGTTTGGTATTTTTAAACCTTAGTTTCTTTATCTACTTGTGTAGCAGCGTCTTATTACTCTACACATAAAAATGATTTCTTTAGTTAACTAGCTGCCCAGGTAATCGAAATATATATCCTATGTCTTTAGCCTAATTATATATAGTTGTCTTTGAGATGGGCAATCTGTTCTCCATCATGTGCTAAATAGTCCATTAAAAAAATCAACCAAAAACAGTTAGTTTGGTAAAAAAATTAAGTTATATTGTGCATTGTTAGTTTATTATTATAATATATTTGATACTAAAAATTGCATAATACATGTAGGCCCTGTTGCATAAAGAACAATTAATTTAAAAGATAATAAAACTCATTAAAATTCATAACAGTGAGTTATAAATTGTAATCAATTTAATTTTTAAACTTTGAGTTATACTTATACATCACTGTATTATTTAGTGCACTTGTAGCCAGTTTATTAGTAAAATGTTTTCCCTCTAGTCTATAAAGCCGTAATAGTAAACTGTTCGGCCTACTGTTAATTATTGCTTGCAGGGACCTAGATCTATCAGTCTTCTTGGATATGACACTCAGTTTGTCCCTAACCATAATTTGTAACCTGATTATATCTATTGCCCTAACAGTGACAGTTGTAGGCTGCAAACAAACAACCCCAACGGGGCTTACTCTGTTTCTATACCATTTGTAATGTGTGATGGCATAAATAAACTTACAACAAGCAATGCATGGTAGGCAACTTCAAGAACTTTAATATTTAACTAATTTTACTGGGGGTCACATTTTATATGTGCCTGTAACAATGATTTTACGATATTGCTTTTTCTTTAAATTTATGTGATCTTAACTGTAACTGTAAGTGTAAATGATAAATTCTCTGCTCTTTATTGACATCTGGGGCTGGCTATTGTGTGTGAAAAAATCAGTACACCCAACTTACCTTAATCACCTTGCTGGTGGAAGGAGTGTTATTTAAATACATAATTTTGTCGTCTCACTTTTTGTTACTGAATACAATTTTTTAATGACTAATTTAATTGGATTGAAAATGAGATATTCTTGTGTTATCATCATAAACAAATGGATCTGCCTGCAGAGCTTTTAGTAGAAGTTGGTCAAAATTGTTGTATTACAAGATTTGACCACACACAGATTGTCAAACATAAGCTAAGAAAAAACTTGTCAATATAAAATCATTTTTTTTGCCAAGTATATAGATCTAATTTCGGTGCTGTATAGTGGTTTCAGCTTAAATTAATCACCAGTAAGAGAGAAACACCAACAATGATCATTAACTAGACACCAACAATGATAATTAACTGCATAAGCTGTTTCCATACTTAAATAACAGCTTTTAGTAATTTAGTTATTGCTGTGATGTCACTTTTTTAATAACTTATTTCAAATTGAAACATGTTATAGTAAATGACAAAAATGTTTGTGTACAAAAAACTCAGTCACAACCATCCCTAACCAATGTCATAGTTCTCCTACTCAGATCAGCTGTTCCTTTTCAAAATGGCATAGACAAAAAGAGCTCCGTCTAATTGTCCCGACAAAAGGACTCAGTCTGAGTCATATAGGTTCCTGTCATTTAGGCTGCTATAGTAGGACCCCATCATCCATGCTGTTCAGTGTTAGCTTGGCAAACATCCTTAAATAATACACATGTAGCTCTTGTTTGGCTGGCCTTATTTTTACGTTATTTAATTTAATTTGAGAAATAGTTTGTTTTCTCATTTTAAGGGTTATCTAGTTATGACATTAATTTAACTAGTTCGATTGTGTGCTATTCCAACTCAGTATGTGATGGGAGTCGTCCATGAGGTACATTCAACTTTAGTGTTTATAGGTTATCAAAACAAAACATCTTGTTTATACTGAAAGAATAATATATACTAGATCTAGGCATGTCATACATTTAAACTACAGATCTTCACTGGCACTTTACTATTAAGAGATCCATTTGGTTGTGAATGCTGTTGATTCATGAAGAAGTTTTTCATTCCGGTATTTAAAAGAGGTTATGGTTGTAGTACTGGTAGTGGGGGCAGGCAGTGTGTGTGGTTGGTAAAAAGTAAAGTTCCCTTTTCAAACCTGACGGTCTAAAGGGCAATTGTGATGTAGAGTTCACTTGTTTATGTGACCTTGGCATATGAAAAGATAGTGTGATCAACAGCCGCCTTTACTTTCCTTAACGTGAGTTAGGTACCCATCAGAGTTGGGTCGTGGACTCAGGGACGGTCTACTGATTTGAACCCGGTTTCGAACTTGAGACTCACGGGTTAGCAGTCCAGCTCTCTACTGCTAGCCCACTCCGTCATGTGGTTGGTGGGTTGGATACAAATAAAATGTTTATTTGTCAAGAGCCAATATGTCGTGACCCCATCGGGTAATAAACACATATAATATATCGGAAGCCCATTTGACTGGAGCCAATATGGCGGGGCTATTTCAACTGCGTAGTTTTGTCGGGGCCGTTTTGATGGTACACTGAAGTTTCCATATTTTCCGATGTCTTAGTAAAGCACCGTCAAAAAGGCCCATGGCAATGGACCTATTTTTGTGTGCCCGCCGGTCACCTTTAAAAAAAACCCCGACAAACCAGCACCCTACAAAACGACCCAGTAAAAAAAGGGCTTCCGACAAAAATATTCGCGACTATTAGGCTCCTATCAACATGGCTCTTGTGTTCCCGATGTGCTGGCAACATACTGGCTCCGGACATATTGGACAAATGGGCCCTGACAAAATGATTACAAAATGATTGTGTCTAGACTAGTTTTGGTATAGATCTAGACGTCACCAATTCACCTAACCCTCCAACTATACAAGCAGTTTCGGCCTCCTGCTGTTTTAAATACAGTTGCAATAAGTTGAATTCGGATACTCATCAGTATCAGTTAATTAAAACGTATGCCCATCTGTTTAAAATCAAATGTTATAGTCTTTACACATTAAGCCTAAACAGAATAGTTTATTTTATCAAGTAGGCCTATTTATTAAGATTATATTCTGTGTATAACTAACAGAATAGTTTATTTTATCAAGTAGGCCTAGTTATTAAGATAATATTCTGTGTATAACTAACAGAATAGTTTTAAATTTTATCAAGTAGGCCTATAGTTATTAAGAAAATATTCTGTGTATAACTAACAGAATAGTTTATTTTATCAAGTAGGCCTAGTTATTAAGATAATATTCTGTGTATAACTAACAGAATAGTTTATTTTATCAAGTAGGCCTAGTTATTAAGATAATATTCTGTGTATAACTAACAGAATAGTTTATTTTATCAAGTAGGCCTATAGTTATTAAGAAAATATTCTGTGTATAACTAACAGAATAGTTTATTTTATCAAGTAGGCCTAGTTATTAAGATCATATTCTGTGTATAACTAACAGAATAGTTTATTTTATCAAGTAGGCCTAGTTATTAAGATAATATTCTGTGTATAACTAACAGAATAGTTTATTTTATCAAGTAGGCCTAGTAATTAAGAAAACATTCTGTGTATAACTAACAGAATAGTTTATTTTATCAAGTAGGCCTAGTTATTAAGATAATATTCTGTGTATAACTAACAGAATAGTTTATTTTATCAAGTAGGCCTAGTTATTAAAATAATATTCTGTGTATAACTAACAGAATAGTTTATTTTATCAAGTAGGCCTAGTTATTAATATAATATTCTGTGTATAACTATAACGTTATCAAAGATGAGTCCCGTAACAATAAATAAATAAGGCCTAGATTTTATATTTTTATGAGCTATATCACTTTCCATGTCTATGTAACTATGTGTAATGTGTGTTGTGGTTTCATTCCTGTTTAATTTCTAAGAAGTCTGTGTAATTCGGTAAAATCAGTTGGAATAAAGGGTGGTTATATTTAGAACTACGATGGCGGTGTTGACTGTTTACAACAGAGACGGTTTCTATCCGGAAAAAACTGGTTTTGTTAGGCCGTTGGCAAAGGCGTATCTTTATATTATGCACTGGTGGAGTGATTCTAAAAGTGACCATTAACTCTCTGTTCCTGTATTTTCAATATACTTCAGTAAAACTTTCAACATAAATAAAGTTTTCAGTCGCTACATTTATTGGTTGAAGACAAAAAACTGTAAAAACGTATTAAAATTGCGCACTCGTTTTTCTACGCATGTACGCCTCTGGAAAACTTCCTGGTAAATTTCCAATACTGCTACGTGGAGCTGAGTCAGGTCATAACGTTACTTGTGCGTTTTGGCTGACGCATATTCTAAAAATAGGGCTGAGGTTCTGTATAGGAAAATAGTTTTTAAAATCTTATTAGATATTATTTGTATAGTTTATTTTGTATGTGATATTAAAAAAAATAATAAATTTCAACATAATTTTTAATCAAATATCATAAATACTTAATTTAAAAAAAAGAAAAAAGATAAAGTTTGTAAAATGGAACCTCAACGACACCAGGTTCCGGTTTTTATGTTAATGATGGAAACGTCTGGACGGCTGCGAGGGTATATAAAGACCTTTGGGCGGTCGGCAGCGTTACTTTGCCTCCACAATTTCATCGAAGCCGAAGATATGCCAACAGTTGTGTTAAGATAGCTAGTTGATAGCTTTTATAAAATAAGCTTTAAAATGTATTATGATACGATCAGTGGCCAACTCATGGTTGGCCACGAAAATGCTAATGTGGCAAGTCCACAAAACCCACTAAAGTCGGGTTTATTTGGCGAAGCAGAATTTAATTTAGACTTAGTATGAGCTTTAAAAGTTTTTCATTAAGACAGAAATGTCGCTTAACTACAAATTAGTCGTCAAAAGTTAGCCTAGATCTAGAATCTAGATCAAATAGTTGAGGCATCAAGATCATAATCAGAATTGATCTGAAGACCACAAGGCCAGGTAATGGCATAAGGTAAGTGTGTAAGACCATTCTTGCAATAATATTCAATCAACAGTAGATGTATAATTTTTGTTCTTGATTAATTAAAGGAGCCACTTAACTCTTTTTGCCGAGAATGTCTTTACCGTTTAATTGTACTCTGATACTGCATGTCGCCTTTACTTCAAATTCAAACTTGTATACCCTTAACTCTCTAACTGAAATATAAATCCAAACTTTGCCTATAAAATTATAATTATAGTCTAGTAGTCAAAAAAAAACCATTAGAAAAACTTAGGCCTATTACTTGTTTATCAGTGAAATATATTTATATAATAGGCCTACTCTACTAATACAATCTTACTAGCAAACTTATTCTGATAAAGATAATTTGCTAGGGCCTATTTAACCAATAATACTTATTTTCTGTTGTTACTCTAGTCTAAGAGCTACTTATAAAAATGCATATTAATTGAATGACCATGTACAGTAAAACTTTCAATCATTCATCATTTGTTTCAGAATTAAGTGTATGTCTAGACCTATCTCAGCGTGCTTAAATTTCTCCTAAGTGATCGGGCTGGGTAACCATGATATCTTGTCTACCTGATGTACACAAAGATTGTTGCTAGATCAGCATCAATCAATCACAGTATTTTAAAGTCAAAGGTGCATATTCCCTATATTAGTGTAACTCTTAAACAAAATTCTGTTTTTTCAGGTGGATATAAACTAATTTGTTTTATAAAGCGTAAAATTTTGAATAGAAAGATTTAAGATGTATTATGTCCACCGTAAATAATTAAAAAATTTATAGATCTATCATGTATATTGCCGGAGACTGATTTAAAGCAGGAGTGACTGGATGCTTTACCTTTTGCCACATTTTTTGTGGCATCAAAGAAATGTGCTTTTTTGAGCTACCTATGTAAATAGTTTATTTCCCTTAAAATGGACTGTTCACTTAAGTAGACAACTTTTATCTCAGTCACTCCTGTTATAAACATAACATGAATAAATATTTTTGTAATATTCTTCCCCCCATGCTGGGTATACAGGTTAATGGCGCGATGACAGTAGCGAGGTATAGCGTGACATCGCCGATTTCCTGTTTATTGTGGCTACAAGCCACAAATAAGCTCGTTTAACGTGGCGTCGGCTTAAGTAAGACGTTGCATCAACTTAAATTGGTTCGAAGTCACAGAAACAGTCTTTCAACTCCCAGTTGCACATTTACCAGCTTATTGTGTAGGAATGTCCTCTTCCTTTCAAGCCTGATTGCTGTATGGAATTCTGTTTTCAAAACAAACTGTATTATACTTCACAGACTGTTTTAGAAATATTAGGTTTCATTAAAATATAGCTTCACCACATTTTTACATGTCCTGTTGACAAATAGTTGATCATAATACCTGCATTCTACCTTCTGAAATCATTCACTTAATCATCTTGGAAACAAGTTTTTGTAATTGTCAATTTGTAACCACAAATAGCACATTACAGCAGCTCCAACAAACCAACTTACACACTTATCAGTTACACAGGCATCAGTTTACAAAAATGTACATATAAATTTGTATTGTGGTTTTGTAAAAAAAAAAACATGACTCTGCGGTTTATTGTATGCCGTTAGTTGTATCCCTGTACCCCTGAAGGTTAACAGAATAAAAGAATTTTGAAATGTTATACTTTGCCGTACATATTTCACTTTCACATCATGTTTAGTGTTGTGGTCTAAGGTTGTCTCATGGGCTGTTGTTATTCTTAGTTCTCTCTGAACAGAAATATTGATTACAATAAATTTATCTATCACTTGGCAAAATATTAGTTCCAGAAAGTAAGGAAAAAAAACCACTTCTTAAACCATTTGTTATTACATAGTATAGTTTGCAAGTGTTAGATAAGTTTAAAGTCTTGATAATAGCAAAACTGCTGTACTTGTTGAATCAGTACTAGTTGTTTCCTAGGGTAAAGTAAATAGCTTTCACTTTAATTCAGTGCATTATCTGCCTGTAATAAAAATAATTACAGTACATGGTTTCTTAGTGTATAGAAACTATTACAATAGATGTTAAGAAAGAGTTAAGTTTCCAAAAGAGAAGAATCTGCACAAATCTTTCATTGTTAATGAATATTAGGTGGGGATCCTATCCTTGCTTCTTTAATGGCTAGAAGTTTAATAAAATTATTTAATAAAATTATAATGAATCTGTATAGCATTAGTAGTTAACATAGCTACACATTATTTATTAATAAATAAAAATAGGAATTTTGAAAGTAATAATACATTAAATGAATCTAGTCAAAACATGAGCAAGCTGGCTACATAATCTAATCCTATTTATACACAACAAATTTTTTAAAATCTGTTAGAGAAATATAAAACTGTTGACCATTTACCATGACTCCCCTGAGCTCATGCAAAAATTGATTTTAAATCTTTTCTTGTTATTTTAAAAATTAAAATAATCCATAAAATTAAAATAATCCATAAGATTCTAGATTAAAAATGCTGCAGTAATAAATATAGGTATTCTTTATAGTAGCTTCTGATCTCTTTAAATTAGTGTGTAATAAGTTTAAAGAAATAATAGACTAAAATTTAATGTTCAATTCACTTAAGATTTATTTTTAAAAAGTAAATAATTATTAAATGCTAAGAAAATCGTATAAATTAAAATAATTGGGAAAGCCTTAAGTAATAAGGGTGCAAGCCTACCTAAGCCAGTTACTGGGCCCTGCTCTTCACTGACACGTAGAGAAATCTGGTCCTGATCTACTACTAGTGGGGTGAAAAGAGAGCTTGTTGTCGACTTAAGAAAACCATTCTGCTGCCTGTTCTGATGGGACCTTTCCTGTTTTGAGGGTAACATTCTTCTTGTTCCAGGTTAAGTACCCCACTTGTAAGTAGTTTTCATTTGAAAACAAGACCTTAACATCCGTTTTTTTTAGAAATTATTACATTCTTGGCTCATTTTTAAGTTAGTATAGTTAGTTTTTTGCGTGGAAAAATAACTTTGTTTTCAGCCTGAAAAAGTTTCTTGCAAGACAAGTGTAGCCGATGTCTGGATCCCCATCCAATCTCATGAGTGTCCTTAAATTGGCTTCTTCATTTCCTTTGCTGAAGTTCTTCCATCAATATAGTGGGTAATGGGAAACATGCAATGGTTCATGATTGAGAAATATCCTAACTTTAATGACTTTCATGTAGGACTTTCTCCAGGTAAATTCTGTATAAAAATTTAAGGTAACTTGCCATTTCCTGAAGTGCATGTTTGTAGTTTTAGTCACCCATAATTTGGTCTCGTGTTCCCGTTCTACTATGCAAACTAAAAACTTTGTTGCAGGTGTACATCAGAATTTTTGTTTCTCTTTACTTTTACGGTCTTGTATATCAGCGAACTTGTGGTACCGAAATACTGACTGTTTTGACTGGAAGACTTAGTGTAGACCATTGCACATGAAAGATTCAAGAAAAAGTTGTATGGTTAAAGGTGTGGTTTTGTTATTTTCACGTTTATTCAACTTGTCTAATTAATATTTTAATAATGAACATTAATAATTTTCAGTGACTAAAAATATTTAAAGGTTTGATCTTCATTATTTCTTTCTATAGACCTCTAAACCTCCCAATGAACAATTTATTTTTATGTATGCATTAATGAATCTATTGTTGGGCTATTTACTAATTTAGCTTTAATTATAAAAATTGCTTTGTGTATGAACATTATATTTACAGAAATCTTCGCTCGCAGGGCCAAACTTTTGCTGTTAAGAACATTCTCTGCGATTTCTACGACCTACAGCTTCGTTAGCTTATCATCTGAATATGAAATGTTTATTTTTGGGTTGTACACAGGGTTAAATTTATTTATGAAAAGGAAATTACTAATGTTTCACTGTTTGTCCTGTCAAAACCGTTGGTTTGCATTTGAAAAAGAGTACTTCTGATAATGAAAAACTATGCATTTATGATTCTATATACTGGTTTATTGATTTATTTATACACTGGATATTTGTAAATGCCAAACTGTTGCTGGGTAATATTTGTGTGGTGTCATCAAACTATATGGGTATACATGTGCTGTTGCTCAAACACCCGCCCCATTTTTGTATATCATGAACAATGCATTGAAATACTTTTTTAATGAAGTGTTTTTTTTAAATCAATTATTACAAATACTTGCATTTGAAATTTTTTTGTCTGGTTAATTTGACATTTTCTTATTCAAATACTTGCTGTATAGACTTATTCTTTTCTACAGTCTGCAAATTGCTTGCTACATGAACTAAATTTAACTCATATTTGCGCTAAAGGTGTATTGACAGAACTATTTCTGTTCCCCTGTCAACTTTACCTTAGGATGACTACTAGGTATAGAACACAATGAAATAGTTTGAACCCCCTGCCCCTGAATATTTACTAAAAAACTTTGTGTGTTGCTTTAATTAAGATCGTAGAAGGTTGCCTCTGGTTACTAAAATGATGCCCAACGTTTACTTGCGCTACTTTGTAACTACTATGATATTTAGATTGGACTGCACTGTTATACCATTTTTATATTACCCAGAAACGATGGTTGATAGCTCCACTTGCTGCTTTGTTGCCCCTTTGGACCAGTTTATCTATTTTTGTGAGAAAGCTTAACAATATAATGTGCATCTCTAGCCTGAAATAGCTGTAAAAATATACTTCGTCAACAGTAGTCAAAGCTGCTTGCTTGACTATATAATTGGATGGTCTCTCTGTTATGCAGCTATTGTCTGCACATGTAAAAGGGGTGTGTTAATTAGATGAATAAAATGGTTTCACTAGAAATGATTACTATTTAGGTAATATATACGCAAATAAATTTTATAGAATTTGTGGAACAAGAGCTTGATAAAAGACTTGTGAAGAAATAAATCTTATAATTGCCCACTAACAAATTTAGTATATGGTTTAAGAAATGTGGTTGATGGTGTTAGTACATAGATATCCAGGATTTATAAGTAAAGTAATGCCATTAAAAAAATATATTTAGAGAATATAATGTTTATGCATGGATGAAGTTTTTATACTTGCTGTATCAATGGTAAACAAATTAGCATGTATTCTTCACAAATTTAACATAAATGTGCCTTTAGTTGCTTAGCGTTTTTCCGTAAATACTTATTCTAATTTGATCATAAATCTTCTCTACAGTCTGGTGTTTAAATAATTAACATCTGAAATGCATTCTTAAGATAACAATCATTATTTTAAAAAACTAACAAAGAAATCATACAGGTGTTACTTCTTACACAATTTTTTTTTTATCTAACTTTGTTAAATTTAATTGAATTGCACTAAACCAGTCAATTTATAAATTACACAAGTACTAAGTACTAAATAATTATTGGTTGGATGTCCTAAAATCTTAATTGCTGTTATCTTTATTAAGCTAATGAATTTAATAAGGTTACCTTCAATAAAGGTTAACATAAGTTAGCTTATCCTTTCATAACTGTTTATATTTATATAATGAAGAAAAACATTAACATATATTTATATAATGAAGAAAAACATTTATATAATGAAGAAAAACATTAACATATATTTATATAATGAAGAAAAACATTACCATGGTATAGAAAATACTAAAGGTTATGTGAGGTGCATTTTAAAACTGTCCGGCATCTTGGTTGTTACTCTTATAAAGAAAAGAAACTGGGCATCTACCATGTTATTATGGTTCAATATACTTACAAAATTGTTTTTAATTGTCTAGTGACACATATTTCCCAAATTGACATTTCCCCAATTTAGGATACATAAAAGGTTTTATCTGAGTAACCATGTTAGGTAGAGTTAATATTACAATATTCATTATTCCAAATGTTTAGAATATGGTACAAATAAATAATTCCCCAAGGTTTTATAATGGTTAAGACAAAAGATAAATAGTTCTTCTAGAGGTTTTGAGAATCCATAATGTTAGGTAGTGAACAAGTGTATGTGATTTACCGTATCTATTATTCTGATGTTGCAGAGTCCACATTCTATTAGAAAGTTTGATTTATGATTACAAAAATATAAAAGTAAACATTCACCAAGTTACATCATCAAATGTTAGGTGAGAAAAAAATGAGGTTCTGAGCATCCTCAATGTTAGTAATGAGCTAATGTTAGGTAAGGAAAAATGTAATCTTGTTTCAGAGGTTCTGAGCATCCTCAATGTTAGTAATGAGCTAATGTTAGGTAAGGAAAAATGTAATCTTGTTTCAGAGGTTCTGAGCATCCTCATTGTTAGTAATGAGCTAATGTTAGGTAAGGAAAAATGTAATCTTGTTTCAGAGGTTCTGAGCATCCTCAATGTTAGTAATGAGCTAATGTTAGGTAAGGAAAAATGTAATCTTGTTTCAGAGGTTCTGAGCATCCTCAATGTTAGTAATGAGCTAATGTTAGGTAAGGAAAAATGTAATCTTGTTTCAGAGGTTCTGAGCATTAATGTTAGAAGTGAGTTAATTTTAGGTAAGGAAAAATGTAATGTTTCAGAGGTTCTGAGTATCCTCTATGTTAGGCAGTGTATAATTTATAATATTGGTAATAATTATTCTAATGTTGCCAAAAAGAGGTTTTATTTTAATTTTGCTGACAAATCTCAATGTTAAATTAGGTAGTACAGGTGTTATGATTTATGGTATCTAATATTTCAGCAAAGCCT